GGGATGTTTTGAAGCCGCGACGACTATATCTAATACTCTCATTTTGAGATTAGGACGAGAAATTACCATATATTAAATGAAAAATTGCTGGAGAATGTATTGAACGTAAATGTGAGAAAATATTCGCGAAAAAATTCAGTGGTTTATTGGAATCGTCGACAAATCGCTTTTAGTATGTGGTTACCCGCAATGGTAACTATAAAAAGACAAAACGTGTGTTATATAATATTTTTTTTCAAAAATGATAATAAAAAGCAAAATACTTTTTTGTGATAATCATTTTTGGGTTGGTATAGATTTTGGCCGATATCTTCGAGACCAATAGATCTTTCGCCGTGATTCTTGCAGAAATAAGATCTAAATATGTCCACAAACATATCCCATCATACATAATTCATTTTACATCTTTAGTATGCAGGCTTTAAGCGTATATATTAGAATTTTGTCAAATTTTTATTGAGGCAAAATACTTATTACACTCACTGTATATGTATATAGATACCTAAAAATTTAAAAGTATATCATTGTATTTACACGCGATCATTGTATGTACACATTTTCCATAGAATGCACGTAAATGTTGCGGCAAATGCTAGGATGGAAAATCAGAAGACATTCTGAATGAAGTTCGTGTCCATTCAGGAAATTTGCTTGAAAATAGTAATAGTTCCATAGGAACATGTTGTTCCTTAAAGTACCAAATCAGGTGGTACCATTTTATGGTGGTTCTATGCCTAATCATTTGTCAATATCTTTGAACTTATATACAGAACACCTCGCATATAACCGACACAAAAAATGTGTATCACAGACAAAACTAATAGACAAGATATTTTCTCTGCAAAATCTATCATCAAGCTCAACTGGAAAGAGAACAATTAACGAAAAACCAGTAAACCAGCCAAGACAAAATACCTAATGTGAATGTTATACCAAAATTTACATCGAAAATATTTATTATAACAAAGAGTCTCATGATGTTACCTATTCAGGTTGGACATGTGACTATAAAATTTCAAATTGCAAAAACGGGGGTAAGAACTTAAACATATGGACAAATTAAACGGGAAATATTTATGGCGTATTTTTAAAATGTTAAGCAATAGTGCGTAATTTCTGGGATGATATTATTTATTCACTGGAATCCATTATGCCTAATTATAGCCAACTCTTTGAGAAAATTCTGTCTTTATTTAAAATAGCGAAAATGGGGCGGGACCAGTATGTAGGAGCTATATCGAAACTTGGACCCCCAATATGCCGGAATGACATATTACAGCTATTACAATGGGAATGGTGTTATATTAGGTTTTTCTAGGAAGATTTGACACCACTTGAGTAATGGTATGGTATGATCTAAAACAATTACAGCCAATTTGCTTGAAAGCGTAACCAAACGCCTCAAAATACCGAATATTATATGTGCCGTTACATAGGGGCTACCCCACAAAGGTGGACCAATATTGATAATATTGAAGCAAATAACGAACTACAGATGATTAGGTTGAAAAACATGCCCAAATCCCCAAAGGATCGAATTATGTGGAGGGTTTTGGGAAGCTTGGGCAAATTTTGTTAGGAACATTTTGTACTCAATGATGATCCAAAATATAAAATTAAGCCATATTTCGAATATTATATATTGATAGTTTTAAGTAGAGATATTTTCTGCTCAGTAAGTATTCATATTAAATTAGAAGTAATTCTGTTGAAGGCCATGCCCAAGATCTTCAAAATACCGAATATTAAGAGCTACCATTATATGGGCGGTACCTCGAAAAATCGTGAAAATTCCTCATATTACAAAAAAGGTGAGGGTTTAAAAACAAATCAAAAATTCCGAGAATTATAAATCAAAAATATTGCAGGGCAAGACAACGTTTGTCGGGCCCGCTAGTTTTATATAATTATATATTTTCAAAAACATTTTTTTTTTTCAAATTTCGTGTTTTTGGAAGGCCAGTTCCCGCCGTTCAAATTGATGGATTTTAACGAAGAAGATTTTGTATCACCCGAAACCTAAAAAACCTTATTGATCGCGGGTACCCGTATCATTCATTTAATAGATCTACAAATTTGGTCCGAAAAATAGGCGTTTTAGAAATTTGATCGCACAAAATTTAAATTTTTAAAAATGATAAGGGGTGTAGTCACCATTTTGTTGGCTTCTAGTTTTACTTTGACACGAAGACAGTGAAATGAATGGCTTAGTAACAAATCGATAGAGAACATAAAAAAACTGGTTCGCCTCAACCTGTTTTTACACATTTTTTACATTAAAGTAGACACAGCTTCCACAAAAATAAAGTTAGGAGGTCAGTGTAATGAACAGTTTGCAACGACAGATCAATTAACCCAAAACTATTCACTTTTTTCATATACATAAGTAATTCCCGAGTTATAAAAGGGTGAACCTCCACTTCAGCTATTTTAAAAAATTGCTAATTGCCCATATATATATATATATTGGCGGAGATACATACGCGCTTTTTTTTTGGAACTTTCTGTTGCTTTTTCATGATTTCATGGACGTAACACTTTTTCTTACTACTTGTCTCTCATTACATTTCTCAAATTCTGCAATAAATTTGTACTTTTGCTGATTTTAACACCCTAATATTATTTAGAAGTGTAAATATTGTTTTGAAACACAATTTATTCAAAAATATAAATCAAAATAAGGAAAACGTCGTTAAGTTCGACAGTGCCGATCTTTTTTTTTAATCGATCGGGATTTTGATATGGGTGTTATGTCATGGTAAATAACTGCCAAGAGAATATGAAATATCAAAAATAAAGGCTATTAGAAAATTTGGGCTAGGAGTTTTGTGGGGCCTATACCAAATCGCGGACAGATATCCATAATTTTTTGTAGAAGGTTTGGACACCTAATGAGAACCCAAAATATCAAATAAGAACCAATTTCATTGAAAAACGTATCTAAAATACAGAATAACGCAATATGGGGGCAACTACAACTATTGATCAATTTTGGTTGGGAGATTTTGTACCAAATTAGTCCCAAATATAAAATTACAGTCAATTCCTTTGAAATACGTGGGGATAACGTTACATGGGCGGTGCCCTAAAAAGTAGACCGATAATGATTATTTTTTGTTGGAAGCTGTGCTACCCCATAAGTACCTAAAATAGCAAACTACAGCCAATTCGGCTAAAAATCATGTCCAAAACCCTCATTATAAGAAAATTTCTAGAAAAATGGATTTGTATCCTTTTTAAGTTGAATATATATATATACTAGCGGGCCGGGCAAACGTTGTCTTGCCCAGCAATATTGTTGATTTATAATTCTCGGAATTTTTGATTTGTTTTTAAACCCTCCACTATAAGGTAAAGTGTACAGATCCTTGTAATATTTTTTTCTATTTTTGCATTCTAATGGATCTGTTGATATAAATGTATTAATATTCGAATTCGTGGAAAACATTAATTTTAATACATTTAAATGGGCATATATCACTGTGATATAAAACAAAACAAAAAAATTCTTCAGGGGTTCTAATGTACCAATTCCGTTTAGTTGGAGTCTCTGGACCACGAATATACCTTTGGTTTTTCTGGGTCACTTCGAAAATTAGTTTTATAACGGTAAATGTAGCGAAAAATGTGGTTTTATAGATTTTCTCTTTGAAACGCGTATAACTTCTTCTCTCTCTAACGGATTTATATTATTCTTTTTTGCATTCGAAGAGTAGAATTTTTTCTTTCCAACAAGATATATACTTGGTAAATCGGTTGAGGATTGGGTGAGTTACAGTGGTTGAAATGTATTGTATTGATTTTATGCAAAATTTTCTCAAAGAGTTGGCTATAATTAGGCATAATGGATTCCAGTGAATAAATAAAATCATCCCAGAAATTATGCACTATTGCTTAACATTTTAAAAATACGCCATAAATATTTTCCCGTTTAATTTTTCGATATGTTTAAGTTCTTAACCCCCTTTTTGCAATTTGCAATTTTATAGTCACATGTCCAACCTGAATAGGTAACATCATGAGACTCTTTGTTATAATAAATATTTTCGATGTAAATTTTGGTATAACATTCACATTAGGTATTTTGTCTTGGCTGGTTTACTGGTTTTTCGTTAATTGTTCTCTTTCCAGTTGAGCTTGATGATAGATTTTGCAGAGAAAATGTCTTGTATATTATATTTGTCTGTGATACGCATTTTTTGTGTCGGTTATATGCGAGGTGTTCTGTATATAAGTTCAAAGATATTGACAAATGATTAGGCAGTACCTGATTTGGTACTTTAAGGAACAACATGTTCCTATGGAACTATTACTATTATTATTTTCAAGCAAATTTCCTGAATGGACACGAACTTCATTCAGAATGTCTTCTGATTTTCCATCCTAGCATTTGCCGCAACATTTACGTGCATTCTACGGAAAATGTGTACATACAATGGTCGCGTGTAAATACAATGATATACTTTTAAATTTTTAGGTATACTCATATAAAATAGTTTCAATACAATGTCAATCCCATTGAAAAAATAATAATAATAAAATATTTGGAAATTTTTTCAATAATTGACAAATGTAGATTTAAAGGAATGATACGCGGCCAAATTTCACCCAAAATATCTGAAAATAACATCTATGACGTGGTGCAACCAAAATAGCTCCATACCAAATACGTGGAAATGCAAATATGCTTCATAAATTTTTTGCAAATTTTTCGTGATTTTGAAATTTTTTGAACCTTTTAAACCCTCCCTGAAGCTCCACGAACATTTCAAGACTAAGATAAGAAAAATCCGTTCAGCCGTTTTAGAGCAATTCATTTATATATATATATGCAAATTTATGTTTTATACCAAACTTTTTAAAGAAAAAAGTAATAGCGGAGGGGCCCCACCCCCTGCGTCCATGTTGCCAACAAATAAAAATAAAAGCATAGATGTTAATCAACTCTGCATAAAAAATATACTATCTAATAAAATTCCTGTTTTTGTTGTCATTTGTAGGGTGGATGCACGCACTAGCTGAACGTTTAAAAATTCCAGCATCGAATATATCAAACGCAGAAGCTTATTCCACAGCACTTTATTTTACATTCACAAGTCTAACATCTGTTGGATTTGGCAACGTTTCTGCGAACACAACTGCCGAAAAAGTATTTTCTATAATAATGATGTTAATCGGAGGTAAGCGCATTATACAATTAGAGACTGAATAAATATTTATGATAAAAGTGTAAAGTAATATTGTTTTATACTATGCACTATAGGTAATTTGGACAGTTTTTAGGCAAAAAGTTATTTTTTCAATTTTGGAAAATAATATATTTTTTGGTGGCAATAAAAAGAAAACATCTCAAAATTTATGATTCTGTAAGAATTTTTGCGTAAAAGTGTCTTTAAAGCGCACTATAGGTAATTTGCCCTGTTTTGAGGAAAAAATTAATAACAGCGGTATTAAACGATTTTTTGACTTTTTAAATGATTTATATGTACAAGAAAAAGAAAACGCAGATTTCCACAGTAGAAACCGGATATAACGAACAACGGTTATAAGCAACTACACATATAACGAACAAAGCTAATTCTTTTTCAGATATTTTCATTAGTTTTCTTAAACACAACAAACGGTTGAAAACTATTAGGGTAGTATGTTAAAAATATTTCGACCCCGCGATCAGATTTTTAAAGGAATAATTATTACAATGTTGTATGCATTAATAACAATTAATTTAGTACCCATTTTTACTCTTTGATGTTATTAATATGTAAAAGTGAGATAAAACCATGTGTACTATAGTCGAACACGATTATAGTAAATACTGAACAACATTTTTTCGTATGTATTTTTTTATTTTTAATCAATGCTGAAAAAATCAATTTTTGGTGGTTTATATTCTAAGGGAAACCCAAGCCCGCCATTTCCTCTTTTGCACTTTTAAGATTTTTTTCTCATAATCTTTACTTCAACAACCTATTAGCGGTTTACGAGTCTTGTTATTTATTTTGTAATCAAAATTCGAGTGTTTTCGTTTTTTTTTCGCGGAAAAGTTCTATCTTCCTATGACATTTGGTCCATTTTTACAAATGCATGCAAAATTACCTAATTTCCTTTTTTAAGTTGACGCATTTTTCGTCCATATTGCTGTTATTGCCAACTTTACGTGCGGGGACGTTGTAAACAACAATATGGTTCTTTTCTTTTATTTTTTCATCAAACCAAATATCGAAAATTTTATTGTTTTTTATTCTGAAGTTCTCTACAAAAAACGGATATATCTTAAAAAACGCAAAAAATCGCAATTTGAGACGTATTGGAATCGATTTAGGAGGCTTTCATTTATATATTACAGTTGTCAAAAGATCAGACAAATTGAAACATTTTTGTAAAAGTCTATCTAAAATGACTTATGTGTAAAAAAATAAACACATTTATTTTATTATAGTCAACTATGTAAACTTTGAATCGCTACACAAACGTATTAACAAATATTATATATTAAATAAACAGCACACACCACCGCCAATACTCTCCATGTTTAATTTTAATATGTATGATTTGTATTAAGCGGTTTCAAATGTTTTAAAATAAGCCTCAATTTTTAAAAAATTTTTATTTCTTTAATTTTATTTTCAAAGTGTAGAGTTTGGTAACGATTTCTTGGGTTTCCCTTAGAATATAAACCACCAAAAATTGATTTTTTCAGCATTGATTAAAAATAAAAAAATACATACGAAAAAATGTTGTTCAGTATAACCAGGGTTTACTATAATCGTGTTCGACTATAGTACACATGGTTTTATCTCACTTTTACATATTAATAACATCAAAGAGTAAAAATGGGTACTAAATTAATTGTTATTAATGCCTTCTGCAAAAACATACAACATTGTAATAATTATTCCTTTAAAAATCTGATCGCGGGGTCGAAATATTTTTAACATACTACCCTAATAGTTTTCAACCGTTTGTTGTGTTTAAGAAAACTAATGAAAATATCTGAAAAAGAATTAGCTTTGTTCGTTATATATGTAGTTGCTTATAACCGTTGTTCGTTATATCCGGTTTCTACTGTGGAAATCTGCGTTTTCTCTTTCTTGTACATATAAATCATTTAAAAAGTCAAAAAATCGTTTAATACCGCTGTTATTAATTTTTTCCTCAAAACAGGGCAAATTACCTATAGTGCAACGTTCAAGTTTCTGGTCTTAATAATTCGACAGCTACCTCCATTCGAAAATTATGTTCTGTTGTTCTGTCCTCTCGATTTGATGATTCCGTTTAGCTTTCCGTGCAAGCATTCGTGGTTCCACATTTTTCTGGAAATCTTCCTACCCACACATTACCATCATCTTTGTTCTCTCGACTTCCTTCAATTAATCTGGCTGACCCACACTTCTCCAAAAGTTCAAGCATCGATATCCTTATAGGCGATGACTTTCATCCTAACATCATGCGTGCTGGGGTAATGCGAGATATTTGCGACTCCTTAATGGGACAAGAAACCATCTTCGGATGGATTTTAACTGGCCCCGTTCCGGATTTCTCTCCACCACCCACACATATTTCCAATTTCTGCGAGGTCTCATTGGTCAAAGGGATTTGTAGTTACTACGAAGTTGAGAACCTTCCTAGAAAAAATTTCCCTCTGACTCCGATGAATATTGTGAAGAGCCCTGTGTTTCCACTACAAAAAGGAATAAAGATGATCGGTATGTTCGGCGTCTTCCTTTCAAGCAATGTTTCCCAGAGAAAGTGGGCCTTATTCATTCCCGTTCAAGAGCTGTAACCAAATTCATTCGCAATGATAACCGACTTCTACGAAATTCAGACTTTAAAAAGGAGTATAATCAGGTACTCCAAGAGTGCGTTCAGTTGAAACACATGTTCCCAGTTCCTGTTCCATGTTTAAATAACTATTCACGCCATGTTCACAGTCTCAACGGTGTTTCCCTCCAAAATGTATTCAATGCGGACATCGATGGAATGTACCGCCAGATTATTGTCTATCCAGATCATACTCCATTCCTACGCATCATATTCCGCAACCACCCAGGTGAAAACATTCATGATTTCGAGTTACAAACTGTCACTTTCGGTGTCAATTGTGCTCCGTGCTTGGCTATTCGCATTCTTCTCTAGCTTGCTGACGATGTTCCAGACTCGTATTCGGTTGCAAGCGAGATTATTCGTAATTTCATGTACGTCGATGATGCGCTTTTCGGAGCCCATTTCGTTTCGACCGCCATTCGATCAAAAGCTGAACTCAAATCTGTACTAGATTCCGCTGGCATTTGCCTCCGAAAATGCATAACTAATTCGATGGACATTCTTCCAGATCTTCCCAATGATCAGTTATTTCATGTAGCCTTGTCATGTTCTTTTACCAAAAGGGAGATCCTGTCTCAGATCTCCAAATTATTTGATCCTGCCGGTTGGTTTTCGCCATGCATAGTTGTAGCGAAAGTTATTATGCCGAAGATATGGTCCGATTATGCAGAAGATATGATCCGATATATAAGTCCCTCCACATTGTCCGAATGGGAAATATTCTATTCGGACAAACTAAACTACTCAGTTCTTGATCGAGTTCGAATTCCGATATGGATCAATTTTACTCCTTCGGCTGGCATTCAGTTCCATGGCTTTTGCGATGAATCCAGAAAGGCATACGCAGCCGTTTTTTACGTGCGAATAGCTATAGGTACGTCCGTATTCACTCACCTGGTGTATTCCAAGATAAGAGTTGCTCCAGTGAAGACATTAGTCGCTATTCATGTCAATTATATTCCACCAATTAATGCACTATTGTTTTTCATCCTTCCCAAAAAGCACAAACTTTCCTTTTCAGCAGATATAGTATCCAGTGGCTACGGTCATAGCGAGTCTATATGCTTGTGGTGGTCATGTTGAAGGAAGACTGCATCCTGGAACCAATCTGGTTACGCTTCAATTAGATATTAAGATTCATTCGATTTCGTGTAAACAAGAGAGAGTGCATGTACTAGTTTTATTTTCATTTCTTTAGTTGCAGTTACTGCAAGGGGGCCGGTAATGTTAACGCCAAGGTTAAACACGCTGGTCACCATATTTTCTATTTGAAAGTTTTTCCTCTTTTCTCCTAAATATGCATCTCTCTCTCCGTACTAAATGCAAATGTTTCTTTTTTCTACTGGTTGTTCCTATTTTCTAAATTGTAAATAAAATCACTTCTGTACTAACCAGCAAACATCACTGTTCTTGGTAAGATACTGTTCCAACTTCTCCACCGAATTTTGTTCAATGAAATTCAGTATTGTTCATTCCCATTCTAAAACCCCTTGTTTTTATTTCTTTGGTTTTTTTCATAACTATTCCGAGGAGATGTTATTCCTGCTCAAGAGAATATTCTTTCCTCACTTCGGCAGCAGATGACCATCCCAGCTTTTCCAGAAAATCCATTTTGGCATTTTCAGAGGGCCTTAGAACCCTACAAAAACAAGGAAATTCTGTCGCGTAGCCGGTGTTGGTATTTGTCCATAGGAGAAACTGTTAAATCCACGGCCGAAGGCCGACCTCCCACAAAACTATTCTATTTAAAAGGAGTCTCTGTCGCGTAGCCGGTGTAGGTATCTGTCCATAGGTAATTGTCTTAAAACCGCGACCGAAGGCCGGCCACCCCAAAAACAACCCTTCTATTTAAAAGGAGATTCTGTCATGTAGAAAGAATTTCCTTGTTTTTGTAGGGTTCTAAGGCCCATATCTTTTGATCAACATATCGCACCATTTTGGAAAGGGCAAACTGTAGTCTATCATTTTAGTCAGGATTGGAGAGGGACCATAATGGACCCAAGTTCAACTTTTATTCTGATCAAGAATATATACACTTTATGAATATTTCTTCATTGAATATTTCAAACTGTTGCAAACGGAATTACAAATTTAATATACACTCCACATTATAATTGATGGTATAAATACAAAAATTTTTCAGAAGAACGTTAATATCAAAAAATTTACATAGGTCCTCATTTGTGCAGCCGCGTGTTGTCATCACACTGCATTGTCCAAAATAACTCACTTCTTTGAAAAATCGTCGAATATATGTCGGGAATACTTATTATGTGATAGTTATCATTATTTTCAGCGATGGTCGCATTATTAGTATTGGAAGATAAAAAATCTTTGCGAAAGTTTTGAT